TTGTAACAGTAACTGGAGAGCCGACACAAAAGTGGATAAAAGTCCTATACCTGGTTGCTTTGCAGCCACAAAATACAATTATGTAGCTATAGACTGTGAGTTATCAGGGGCATATATAATATTAAGCACTAACTATAGGGCTTAAGTATGGTCTTAAAACCCTACTTTCAGATTTTTATTTCTAAAACTAGTAATCTTGAATTCCATTTTGGTGAAGAATCTCTGATCTGATCTGTATGATTCACCACATAAACTGAGAAGTTTCATAAAAAAAGAATGTGATGCTTCACATTGCAGAGAGGTCACTGATATAACATAGACTGTCCTGTGTGTAAGAAAATACATATTACAGCACAATTATGCACCAAATGAGGATTATAAAGATAAGGATTATACCTCCTACCATACATAAATCCCTCATGCACTGACATTTCAAACATTGTATGCTCTGACCATCTTATCTGAAAATTTGAAAAAGCACAGAATAGGATAGCAAGGATGATGGACATGGAATACCCTTTCTATGAAAAAAAATTAAGGACTCTCCTCAGGCTGAAAAAAAGGTGACTGGGAGAACAAAATAAGATCAGTAAATTGTGAGTGGCACAGAGAAGGAAGACATGAGTAGAAAGCAGTTTTACACTTCTAATACAAGAAATATGGGTTATGAAATGAATGAAGAAACAGGAGGCCTTTATTACGCCATTTACTTAACCTTGGCAAAAGCTAACATGGTGTCAAAAAGTAAACAGGTGACTTTGTGGAGGAAAAAACCTACAGAACATTGACAACTAATATATTTAAAGATCTCACGTCTTTCTAGGAAGACATTTGAATTTCTTGGAGACTAGAAGAAAGTGCTAGGGAAACACGGATGCATGGACTACATGTTTGTCCTATTTTTAACCTCGTTCCAAAGTATTTCCCATGGTCACTATCAGTATGTGTCTGATTCTATATCACTGTTCCTATGTTACACTCTATACCACAGTAGTTAAGCAGTTTCATACTTCAATTCCTCTGAAACTGTGAAGAGAGGTCCTGAAAATTTGCTGTCATTACTTTTAATAATTTATTGTAAAACTTTGTGATGCTTCAGATTTTCTCAGCTCCTCTGTGCTCCCCATAATTAAAGCTTCCTAAGATTCTAAGGTGAACACTTAAAAAATTAGCTAGCCTTTCTGTGATGACATTCTGGATAAGCTTCTGTGATCTGGGAATAAATTATCCAAGAAAAAAAATGCCCTTGAAAAATTATTTTCTGTCTGTTCTATTTGTTCCTGTTTGGGAAATTTTCTACCTGCATGCAGCAAAATGAACTTCACCATGACTCCACCTTGTTTTTTCTGATCAGCTGCACACCACAGTGAAGAGGGCTGTTAAGTGCAAAAGGATTTGTGAACTCCATCTGGTAAGATGTCCCATTTACAACAGATCCTTTTCTCTTTCATCAGATTAGTCCTTTCTTATTGTAAGCCTTTCACCTTCCTAGAAGAAGCAATATTTTTCTACCACAAAAATCTTTCTGTTTCACTAGTCCAGAGTTCCTCTGGTTTGGCTAAGGGAGGGTATTTTGCCTCTGAGGGCTATCACTTGCCTTAAAAAAAATAACCAATACTTATAACTACTTTTCAACTGATCTTTCCCTTCTTTTGCTAAAATGTCAAGATAAATAAAGGGAGGAAGAGATGCAAGGACTTGCATTGGAATTTTGGCTTTTGGGGAGAATAGCTTTTTATTTTTTTTCAAATTAATAAACCTGTTTTCTCATTTCATTTTTTGTACCAGAGTCAGACTGTTTTTTTACTCCTTCCTATCCACAGAGAAACATCTACTGCAGCCAGATCCCACTCACATTACTTGCCACTTGGGTGTAAGTGTCTGTTCTTATTGCATTCAGCTTGGTCATCCAGCTTTGATAGACATACAATTCAGAGTTTTATGCTGATAAAACAGGAAACAAATAACAAGAAAAGAAAATATCATGAGGTTATAACGTAATACATAAGTCTCCATTTTATTTGATAATTTCCTAATAATTGCTGAGCCTTTCTCCTCAAAGTGTACATAATACGGGGTTATATTTGTTAAGTGGGTCCATTAAACATTTAAATTTATATCGGATAGCCTGTTTGACTCCCTAGGCTCTCTGGATCACAGAATAAATTAAACCACCATCTCTTGCACAGCTGCTGTTACCCCACATCTAGCAAATTCAGAATGCTTTTATAATGGCAAGTATTGTTTTTTGACAACATTAGGATAACAAAAGATCTATATTAACATGTACAGTTCAAGAAATGCACGCCCACGTAAAAATCCAGTTTATGTAAGTCTCCAGTTTGTTGAGCATTTATAGGTAGTCAAATACTTAATAGGTATATCTAAAATTTCTCAAAAAAATAAATTAAAATAATCTAATAAAACACAATAATATCTAGTTATGGTCTTCTTTAGAAACCTTAATCTGCCTAGTACTTTTGTCCTCTTGGTCATAGCTTTGACTAGAACAGTCAGGGTCTTAGTTGGCTTTAGTCATTCTGTTTCCACTGCTCCACATGCATATTCATCAAGGGTTTCCGGATGCTTAGGACTGTCTCTGACCAAGCAGAGACACTCATTGTTCTCGCAAAACTGTCCACAGCATTCATACAGGTCAACTCCACTGCCAACCTACAACCATCCTCCAACCAACACTACAGCTAATCTGCAGCTGAAGGAACTGAACACTTGATTTCGTTTGTGCAGAGTCCAGTGAGTCACATTGTCTGAGATTTGCTATACTGGTGGTGGCCACTGCTGTAGCACATATAGAGTGACTCAAGTGCCACACCTGTGCAAACAGTGCTGTGCACCTTCTCTCCTATTGCTTTCTTGAACTCACTAGACAGCACCATGGGAGCCCCATTTGCACGGTCCCATGTTACACCATTGCACTCAGACAGGCAGTTTTCTTTGGAGTAAAGCCACATCCACACTCCCACTGCTGTTTTTCACAGACCAGTGAGCACTAAGGAGGCTGATTATCTTTTGAAAGATGACAGTTTAACTATCCTACCAGAAGCTTAGGATCAACAGAATAATTTTGCAGCCAAACACTGTTCAGAAGTTTGGCTGCAAAGGGAAGGATGCTATCAGGCTATTTATCCCTAAATCGAACCTCTCTGTGAACAAATACTCCATTGAGATAGGCCTCATGAAGCAGTCATTAAAGGTTATTATTTTGTTCTGCATACAAAACAGTCTTTGGAAACAGCAAGAGGAAAAATAGCATGCAATGTCTTTGGATGGATTTCAGCAATGCAGGGCCTAAGTCTGAGAGTTTTCTATAGCAGCGGCCCAGGCTACCAGCTGCCAAACATAGTACAGAGACAATCAAAGCTACAGGCTACTTGGGAACAGTGTGCCTTCAGGGCATGTTCACTGACAGCACAGATGTAAAAGCACTGAATGCTGGATGGGATTAAAGGTCTTCACTCTAGGTTATGTCAAAATATCTGCACAATGCTATGGGTATAGCCAAAGTTTAGCTAGCCAGGCATTTTGAGTTTCCATAGCTGCACTGAAGCTTCTGCAGATAATAGCTGTTATTTTCAACATTGCTGTCCCCAAGATTTATACATAGTGGTTTGTAGCTGAAAAACTACGGCTGTTCTCTATTAGTCCCCAATTCAACACAGTAACAAAATGTGTCCTTCAAGCCATCTCTATTTGGCAAAGCCAAGGAATATTCTTATTTCCACACGTGTGCCTAAGGGTTTTGTATTTCAAAACTCAATTCACCAAGATATAATCGTGTACTGAAAGTTATGTCTAAGAACTTTTAGAGCCTGACATATGCTCAAGTGCTTTAGTAAATCAGGACTTCTGCAATTTAATTGCACTAAGTGGATGATAACAAAAGACAACAACAGGAATAAATCATCTAACTGTGTTAAAGATCATGAGATTGACTCCAGACTCCAGCCACCCCGAGCCTTCCGAAGGGTCAGACGCTATACCCTTGTTCACACAGAGCAGTGCCTGCCTCCATAAATAGTGTCATCAAAGTGAAAGGGGCTGCCTCTGAAGTAACCCACTGAGCACGAACATATGTGCTGGAGCCTGGCCCACACTGTAAAGTACAAAAGAGAGGTGAGGGAAGGAGAATTAGATTTCAAACAGATACTTGCCACTGTTGAACGGACAAAGGAGATTTATTTGTTAACACTTAATTTAGGCTGTGTCAAAATGCCACATTTGTGTACGAATAAAAACTAGCAAGAACAACATAATGTAGTGGGAAGATCTTGCTTCAGAAACAGTTTAGTAACTTGTCACACCTGTTGTACCTCATGATAATTACAGTGAAACAACATGGGAATGGCAGCAGTACTAGGATGCAGCACAGAGCAACAAGAGCAAACATGCAATGGATTAAGGAAACAGAAGCAGAGCTAGTAAAATTGTAAGCCTACTTAAGAAACATACTGCTGTTGTTATGAGAGCAGGAGCCAGTTCTGCATCCGGTTTTATGCAGAGTATTAAGAGGGTGGGAGCATGGAGGGGAATCCTTTGATAGCAGTGGACTGCTTGGCATGTCTCTTCTGCACAGCCTCTAACAGTCCACAGACAAGCTACAAATGTGGTGTAGTAAAACCAGCAGACACTCTTCCAGCTGCCTCTTCAGTTCTCTGAACTATCACAGAGCAGTGAATATAACCCTAAACTCCATGGTTCACTATCTCCCCTGCTCTGTCACATAGAAGGACCACTGAGACTGACCCCCAAAAGGCACTGGAGCACCCAGCTGCTGGCATGATGTTCACAAGCCATGTTTATGCCATTCAGATTGCAGAAGGGCAGAGTTAGGATAAAGTGTGAACAACCTCTCTAGCAAGAACAGCTGTGCTGCAGTGTATAGTCCAACGCTTCCATGTAAAGTAAAATCTGTGGCAGTTTACCTTAAACCATAAACCACGGCATTTTAGGAAAAAGAGTCCCTGGAGCAGGCCGTGTACCTTTCATCAGTGAAGGGAGGCAGACAGTTGGAGATAACCATTGCCCCTGCTGAATGTATCTTAGCCCCCGACAAACGTTTTACAAGATCTATAACTCAGTATTTGAGAGGAGGGTGTTTCCATAGGCCTGGAGCAGCCACACACTGAATGGGAAAATGATGAAGTGGAAAGCATTTGAAGTCACTCTTCTTCCTTGGAATAAAGACACTTTTTTGCAACCTTGAATTTCATGCCATGTGAGACTCTCAGCATGCATGCCTTTCAACTAACAACTAGGGGGATTTTTTTTTCCATAGGTCTGAGCTACAATCCTTTAATCCTTACTCTAGCAAATAAAACTCTTCATATGAACAGTGACTGTCAGCTCTGGCCCATAGTTTTAGTGCCTTGGCCATTACAGTCACCTGGTTTAAATACAAGCATAGAAATTTGGAGTGAATTAAACAAATGGTAGCTGAGAAAGCCCCTGCATGAACAAAGAAGAACTGCAGAAACGTATTGTGGACACCTGGAAAAGCCTGTCTCCTATTTGCAAGAAATATATAAACAATGTTCCAGGGAGACAAGTCTGTAATAAAAACTAATGGTGAACAAACAGAATACTGCACTGAGTAGTTCAAGAGGAGTCCTTTTATTTTTTTTTCCTTTGAGACACATGCTTCCCAAGCATTTTGATTTATTAAAACAATTCATCTATATATTTACATTGCTAATCAAGTCATGGGAATGATGGTAGGCTTTCCAGTCTTAGGAAAAGCACATTGCAGATTGAACAGAAAAAACAGGACCCAGTTCTGTGCATTATTATGCCAGTGGCAAAAGTTTTCATTAATACAGAGAAATATAAAGGAAAAGCAGCAGGTCAGATTTGTTGCTACTACTTACAACTATTTTAGAGAAAAACCCCAAACATCATCCAGGTAAAGTCACTAAGCCTTATTGCTAGTATTTAAGTGAGATGACTAAGCTTACTCATATGACTAATTACATTAATGATATGAGGAAAGGTAACTTTCCCAGGGTGTTCCCTGCCTACCTACTCCCTCACACACTTGAGAGATACAAGAGAACAAGCATCTACCTATGACTAAGGAAAGAACTCTGTGGCAATTACAAATGGGTCAGTTCAAGAGAAACGTTCAAGAGAGGGATGCCTGTGGGTGTGGAAATACAGTTTGTGGATTCTCCTATTGACTAGGAAGAGACAGAGGTGAGACCTGATGTACTAGAGACAGGACAAAAAGGGGATTTCTATGAAAACGATGAAAACATAACTGTAACCGTCACAAATATGGGGAGAGCTTTTTCACATGAAACACAAAATTCCCTAAAGCCCGCTTAAGATGCCAGGAAAGACATATGCCAGGATGTTTTTGAAGTCTGAGCCATCACACGTAAAGATAGCATCTTTCTTATACCATCATTTCAAATCTGGTAGTACACAAAGCTATGAATAGTAATATTAACCACTTAAAAGATTAAGTGTATAGTTACAATTAATGGTTAATTTATTCTAAATTGTGTTTATCACATTGTTTGGTAAAACATTTGTCAATATGGCATCTATTTGTGAAATACTCTTTCAAATAAATTGCATTCAATTTGTGTTTCTAATCAGCCAGTCACACAATGTAACATGAAAAGGTCAACTGGAACTATATCAAATACATGCTGTATCATTAGAGCAGAGATTAGTCACAATTATGTACCTAATCCATGTTATCTCTGTATGACACCACTATTGCTATTTTTTTAAATGCTAAAGGACAACAAAATGTATATAGGAAAGCTTCTCTAGCTTTCTCTGGGGACAAATTATTATATTTGCTCATGCTCAGAAAGTCAAAGGATTTGGACTTTGCATTATCCATTTGTTTAAAGGAAGGTTGTTTGCAATCTAAATATAAACTTAACTTCAGCACTTTCCTTCTCTATTAATTGACTCATACTTGAGTCCATTTATGTGATAAACATGCACGGCTAATAATCAATGATATAGTGGCTGTGTGTGCAGAACAAATAAGAAAAGAAACAAATATTCCCTGTCTATACTCACATATTCAAAGCAGAATATAATGAAGACCAAATATGTGTGCTTTAAGGACAGAATCCTTAAAGGTCAGTTATATTAATTTTTTCCTGCACCGCTATTACACAAAAAATCACCTTTCCTCTTGTTGCTGAAATGCCATTTCCACTACGCTTATTAATTTCAGTATATGTACTTACTACAAACATTTGCTCTCAAGCCTAGCATTCATGTTCTCAAAACTCGGGATTTATGGAAAATTAATATTACCTTTTAAAAATTTTCTTAGCTAGGGGGTGCGTGGTCCTTTTTGCATAAACTCTCATTATTTTCTTTTCTTTATCATCACTCTTGCACAGAGGAGCTGGGAAGCTGCAAGGTAGAGATTCTTCTTCCTGCCCAGCTTGCACTGAAACTTCTCCAGACTGTTTTGGGACTTATGGCACTCAGTATCTGCTCTTTTCCAAAACAGAGAACTAAGGTTCCTCTCAATAGTAAGAAAAAGCTCCTTATCCCATGACCAAACCAAAAAAACCCCCAGGGTATTACCTGAGTAAAGAATTAGTGTGTGAGTGGTCCAGGGACATAGCAGGTCAAAAACCTGCACTACGTCTTCCAAAACTTACAACCTCTTTTGTGATTTGCCCTCCAAAAAGACCAAAATTTTCTGTGTTCAAATTATTTTTCAACAGGAGTCATCCCACCTTTCAAGTTCTACCCTGCAAACCCAAATGTTTGGGATTCTGATTCTGTTACTTCAAAACACAAAAGCACTAATTGACACCTCTTTTGCTTTCTCTTCATCTTAAACACACAAGAGTCAGTACGAAAATGTTTGTATTTCTCTCCTGTAAGCACGTTTTTCTCTGCTGGGCTTATAACATAAGCTGGCTGCAGTGTCCCTCTGCCAGGAGCTGCCCCAGGGGCCCTGCCACACACCTGCTGCCAGGTGGGAAAAGCATAGGAGGGCACACACATACTGCTCATCTCAGCCTCTCTTAGTTTGCTGGAAAAATCCAAAGTCATCCTTAAAGAGCAGCAGTCTCTATGAGATTTATACGAGCATAAAACATATCAAACACTTGCAGATTTTGAGTGCTACAGGGCCTGTGCCCAGCCACAACTCCCTGTAACCTTACATTTTCCTCTACATTTTCCCCACCTGCCTTCCTTATTTGAGCGATAACACCAATAGCTCATTAATAAAATTAAGCCTGCTCTAGGTAGGAGTTCATCCCCCTAGCCAACTCTGCCACCATGAGCCTTTCCCTAATAGTTCCCTCCACCTCAAGTTATCCGTTTCAGAGACTGACTTCATCTCAGTTTTTTAAAACCAGACCTTTCTCTGCTTACAGTCACCTGGCAAATGGCAGGGCCTGCTCTTCCCATATATTTTCTGAATGGCTGGCTACCCAGAGAAGAGTAATGATAAAAATGATAATGATAATAATGATAATGATGATTATAATGATGACGACGATGATGACGACAATAATAATAATAATAATAATCATCATCTAATTATTCGGTGGCAGCTACACCCATCTCTTGAAGGCAGAGCAGCAATTTCAGCAGTGGCAGCCCTGCTGCAGAAGCAAGCAGAATGCAATCTTTTCTGCAGCACCCTAGTGAAGAGCCAGCCAGGCTCGATGAGACCTCGAGGACCTGAGCATATCAAAAGTAGATTTTTATGCAGTGGCAGTGTCTACTTGCAGCCATCAGTAGCACATGGCAGTTGCTGCAGCCGGTCCCAACTTTCAGCATCCCTACTTTAGCCAGCCTGGCTCCCTCTCCCTCTCTGCCCTCCCGCTGTCCTTCACACTCGAGGGCAATTAAGCCACGAGTCCAAGGGGAGACTTGGAGACTGACACCAAGGCATAACGAAGGGAAATCTTGAAAGCATAGCTATAGTCCTCCTGCATGTCAATTTGGCTGCAAACAGGTTCTGAAAATCCATACAAATGCACCAAAGTATAAAGACTCTGCCTCCAACGGTAAATCAGCTGGACAGGAGGAGTCGCCCTGTTAGGGTATCGCTCCTGAAGGGGAAATCGTCTTCCCTGCAGTGCCCTTTTGGGACGCGGGGAGGAGAGTGTTGAGACACTCTGAGTCCAGCTCCCAGACAGCCGGGGATTGCTGCCGGGGCGCGGAGCCGCTGACGCTCCGGGGCTGTGCGGCGGCCGCTCCCGGGGCGAGGCGCAGCGGAGCAGCGGGACTGTGCAGGTGCAGGCGAGCAGCCTGCCCGCCCTGGCCCCGGGGCAGAAGGGGAGCTGGCAGGACACAGGCACACGGTACAGGGTGACAGGACACAGGCACGCTGCTGGACACAGCTCTGGCGAGCTTGTCTGACCGGCCCCCACAGGGTAGCAGGGCACTCCCTGCCAGCCTGAAATTCTCGTGCTATGGCAAGCAAGGGGCAGATCCTGCCAGATGCCCAGCTGTGCTTTCAGCAGGTTCGCTGCGGTGATTCATTTCGACTCGGATAATTTGAGGTAGAATTCTGTGTTTGATATTTACGCTTTGAGGATTAAAGAAGAAGGAAACAACCGATAATTTCAAATGGTCTTAGAAAACAGTAGCATTTCTGGAGCTAACACCACTCCAACACGCTAGTTGCCTTAGGGTTCCTTGTTTCTCAGCGTTACAATGCACTAACCTCTGCCTTTGCGGCTCCCCAAAGCAGGTGCTTGGGCTTAACTGGGAAGCATAAACCTCGAAAAACACAGAGAGGGATTGGTATAGGGGAAATGGATATAGAAGTGTGCAGAATAGCTAGAGGAGAAGTGATAACGTATCTGCTGATACCCATCCTTACTGAGGAAATGATAAAGTATTATGCCTCGTATAAAATAAAATAAAATAACTTTTCTTTAAAGGGGAATCGAAGTTTACTCACTACAGCAGAGTGCTGACCAAAATGTCTGTTTTTTCATGCAGGCGCAATGACCCATCTTAGAGCACGACGCCTGTTATCACCTTGCATACCAAAGGGATTACGCCCTAGAAGTGCAG